GTTCCTTTGCTTGAGGACATTTTCTCTATCTGGAGCTCTCTGAATTTTAATTGAATCCCCATTTATTAAATCTTTCTAATGTTGTTGGATTGAATTACTTCATACTACAAGGATTTTCTTCTTTACATTTATGTGTATTTGTACGTGTAAAACACCCCTGTCATTAACTCCACTGCGACACAACACATAGTGTCAATCCTGTTTTCTGAGCTGAAGTACAGTGTAGACTGTCTCGAGCTGCTCTGTAGTCCCTCTCCATCCCTGCGTATGAATGATTGATGAAATTATTTATATACCCTGCATACCATACATTAATACTGAAATCTGGTAGCAATAATATACACCTAGAGTATCTATAATCTAAAATACAGGAAAAAAATCTAGCTCTGCTCTGGTGTCCAATCTCAAACCAGACAGTGATATATCTCATGAGACAGACTATAGAACTGTTTATGTAAAACAATATGTAAATAAGTAACACATCATGTTAATAAGTCAATAGCAGTCACAGCATCACACTAATTGGTCTCACCTCATGTTTAGATTTCATGGAAAGAGTCAAACTCTGCAGCTCTCTCAACATAGATTTCCATGTCAACATAAGGAAGTAAAGTCAACTAGGGCTGGGAGCACTGCACACGTCGGGCCTGGATGTGGTCTTGGAGTGGGACCTTTGTCATACTTGTGAAGTTTCAGTCAGATTGAACAATACAATAACTTCCTAAAACGAATTTCCTGTTACAGGTAGGGGCGCTATGACTATTATTGAATATTATCAAATGGATCGGTTCAGGGCAGGAGGTTTGTTGTAAAGTTGTTACTGCTCGGCCCAAATTATACATTATAAATGCCCAGGACACTACTCTGATGGTCTAATGCACTGAGACTGAGGCAAAGCCTGTGAGAGTTCCGTGCAACAGAGTCAAGTAGAAATCCTGTTGTTGCTTTATGTATAATTGACAGCTTCCTGCAGCATGTCATGATCTCCATACAGGCCTGGACAGATGTCATCGGGTTGCATAAAAGGGGCTTTCAGAGGCATATAAAGCAAGTGTCAATTGTGTAGGTTGCAGTGGAAAAACAGATTTAAAGAGATTAAAGGATAAGCCTGGTCATATTCTGTAGTTGTTCTGTTGTCAACTAAATCCAAGAAAAGACCACAACAATATACTAATCCTAGAAACAATTAGTGTCTGTGCAGCCAGAGCACGATAATGGTTTCTCCTCTTTCCTATAGATCACTGTTGTCTTCAAACAACAGGCAACCATTCCTAACTGTTATAAGACATTCTGTGGCCTTTTATTCTTGAAGTGCATCTACACATTTGTGAGAAAGTTGCAAACACTGACATCTGCCAGTATTAACCCTATTGTTGATCAGTATCAGTGGATATACTATTACCTTGTACTGCTATTATGATATAAGTATAACTATTGTTATTTCCATTATAACAACCCGTCTGATCCTACATATGACAGTTTACACTTCTCTCCCTCCTTTCTTTTTTCTTTTAGAGGGTTATCGCTGTTAAAAGGGAGTTTTTCTCTCCACAGTTGCCGATGATGATTTGGTGCAATGCGAATAAAATTGAACTGAATGTGTTGGTTGTTATGCGACAACGCTGAAATGCCAAACTAGGTTCACAGTTGCATAGGTTTGCCAAGAGTTATTACGAGTTGAATTTTACACTGTAAAATGTCCTGCTTGAACTTATTTACTGGAAAAAAGGGCAAAGACAATGTGAGGAATCCATATCAAGAGTGTTTGTGTAATTTCAGTTTTTAGGTTTTGGTTAAAAAGGCTTTGATCGTGTAATAAATGAAAATTCTTACAAATCTAACATCTTTGAGAGTTGGGAGGAAAATCCCGAAAATCATTAGATAATGTTAAGTGATGATGATGAAGCAGTGATGATAGTTATTATTGTGATTTTCTTCTGCTTGTGTTGATGTTAAAGGCAAATATGTCTCTCTGTGCCATCTGCTACCTTATGGTAACACAAACTGTCGTAGATAATTTCCCTTGTCAGTTCCACATTAACACACCCTTCCGACTGTACTACACTGTTTTCCATTTGCACACATTTGCTCTTTAGGAGCACATTTCCAGTTCATCCTCGGTCTGACACTTGGACAGAACATTTCATCGGGTGATCAGTAAATTGTTAAACACATGGTTTTTGCTAATATTTGCCTTGTTTCTAATACTGAATGAAATACAATGATTTCTCCTCACACCATTGAGTTTCATGATACACGTGAAAAAAGGAAAGAAAACTTGTCTATGTGTATTTAGGATTGTTGTTTTATGAATATCATCTCTTTTGTGGGATTTCAATTAAGTATGACAAATCCATCGCCATTTCATTCAAAGACAGTCGAGATTGAATGGATTCCTTTTATTAGCTTCCAACAAATTGCCTTTTTAGTGGCTAGAGCCTCTGCATTATTCATTTGTGAGAGAGCCAGCATTTGTGAGTTCATCTAGTTAAGTTCTAGGCGATCTCAGCCACAAACATTGGGACTTCGAATGAGTCATCTCACAGGAGGATGAGATTGTTGTGTTAAGCAGGACTTTAGATTAGTGATTTGTAAGAGCTCAAAAGCAGTTTTTTTTTTTTTAGATTTGGTATGATGACGTTTTTGGAGAGCTGAGTCAGTGTTGATGATGGAGCAGGGGCAGGCAAAGGGAGCAGGAACCATTGGAAGAGAGTGAAGCACAGAGCTGAGATAATAAGACCACTTTCACACGTGCCTTGTTTGGTCCAAACCACAATAACAGGTTTTATAATCTGGATCAGTCATACATGGTTTGGATCATTTGCAGTTTGAAAACTTGTTGGATAGTCTGAGCTTGTTGCTGGAAGTTGAGAGAGCATTAAACAATAGTAGAAGAAAAGAAACTTGCAGGACTGCCGGCTGTTTTTGCCTCCAACCATATAATGTTTGAACAATGAGGTCGTTCATTTTGCTGGTTGTAATACCATGATAATATGTCAGTGGCAACGAAATCCGCTAAGTCAACGAGTTCATTTATTTTCTTCATTCAGACAGACAACTTTGTGTTGATGCATCAAAAAAGTTAGAAAATATAAAAGCCAAATTGACAGCACGCTAACGTTACACGCATGTTTGTCTTCAAACCAATCAATGTTGGGTATAGACAGATGCAGTCTACATAGGTCATGTCAAGACGTACATATTTTATACAAAATGACTGTGTGCGCTCTCTAAATTGCAATGTGAAGTCAAAACTCACTATATCAATGTAAACAATGTTATATAGATATGAATCTTGGATCGAACCATTTTCTGGACTTCCTGTGATAGATCTTTGAGGTAGATCCAAGGATGGGTTACAGGTATGCATGTCAAATGGCAGCAGAAGGACTAATTGCCATGCTGAGAAAAACAGAGACAAACTGACAAACAAAAATCACAAGGAAGGTGGACAATGGCAGTCCATAACAGAAACACTGTATGAGATGAATCTCATCTGACCCCTGAACTCTTGCCTTGTCTCTCTCTAGGTGATCCAGCGCAGGGAGGATGGCTCGGTCAACTTCTTCAGAGGGTGGGAGTCCTATCGTGAGGGATTTGGCAAGATTACTGGTGAACACTGGCTTGGTAAGTGTCTCAGCCGTGTGAATGAGTGTCTGTGTGTTTTCTGACAACGTGCTCGTGAACAGGCTGCCAAGTCAAACCTTGGAAAGTAGATTTTCACTCAGCACTGTCAACTTTGCTTAACTAGCTGCACTGTTACGTCTTGAAGACAAGACTTTATAGAGCCATCATCTCATCAACATTATATCGACAGCCACTATGACATGAAATCACAAGTGCAGCACTTAAACTGCAAGTGCAGATAAGACAGAAACTCACTCACAGAGGCTGAAATAGCTCCATTGAGTGATGGATCGAGATAAAGAGACGGCTAGAGAGACGCTAACAGAGAAAAGCCTCAAGCCCTCAAATTCCACACCTCTTCTCAAATTAACAAACATATTTCTTTTTGTGAGTTTTACTCTTCAACACCATCGCAGTTGTTCTTGAAGCATGTAGCTAGTGATCTGTTGGAGCTCGAGGACATTGTAATTTGAGTTGACTTCCTCATGACATATTGGATTTGTTTTAATCTGTGTCATACTCCATGTTTAAACAACACAATAAAAACTCCCTAAGGCCTGCAAGGGTACACAATAGAGAATGGCTGTACCTCACTAAGAATTTTGTCAGGTGAATCAGATTTGGCTGTTCAATACAAATAGTTGATGAAAACACTTTGCTCAAATAATGAATGTCTGATGTGACTATCATGGTGAAAGCTTGATAATTACGCTAATGGCCAGGGATGTACATTTAGATTTTTTTTAATCAACAAATGCTTGTTAACTTATTATTAACCATTAACCAAAAAAATTTTAGAGTAGAATATCTGTCATTAATATCTATCATTAAAAAACACCCATGCAGTGTTTTTGAACAAGGATGTTTAAGCATCTTAGCTTTAGCTGTGCGTGTTCCTTTGACCGTGATGTCACTCCAGCACACATGAGAGTAAGCTTGTTACATGTTTCAGCGATCAATCACAATAATCAACCTTAACAGTCCAGTTCTACTCACCCCTCAGCAGACTCAGATTTTCTCCAACTGCTGTGGATTCAGTCTGGTGCCCGGTCTGTTAACTTTGAGCACCATGTTGTAGTAGTAATAATATAGTTATAGTGCTCATTTGTTGGTTAATGGTTAATGATGAACATCCTTACTAATGATGGATCGGAAAAGTGCAACAACATTGACACTAGATGTCAAATAAAACCCAGAGAAGATCCTTCGAGGCAAGTGTTCTCTACTTCCAAGCAGAAGCCAGAATACTTGCAGAATCTCAGTCGACCTAAAGGTCTCTGACTGATGACAAAAATCCTCACACAGCCAGTTCTCTTCTTCTTCTATCATAGAGTTGCCTTGTAGCTTCCTTTTAATTTGCCTGACCTTTGTTCACTTAGCAGGAGAACACGAGCCAAACCTGAGAACAGGTATGGAAGTGAAAACTGACAACCCAAAAAAAGGCACAGATGAGGTTGAACAATGTCGACTTAACTGGAGTCAGCTGCAGCTTTTTGGAGCGGCCTCTGTAGAAATATCTAATCACTGTTTTCACAGACAGAAACTGCATGTCTCTGGGATCTTGGTCTCAAATTGCTACGTAACCTCAACTGTTATCCCTTTGTACAGAAACATCCCCAGTGACGAGCCTTAGTGTTCCAGTGTTTTTTTCTTTTTTGCTGAACATCCATTCCATTACAGTTTGTCCCCACAGACACTTGCAGTACTACACACACAAGTGGAAACCAAACTAAGAACCTCAGAAGGATTTTGATAGTTCCTCAGGTACTGGTATACAAACCATGACCCTTGGTTTGCACTCGGATGCCACATTTCTGAACCACTGGCCACAGTTCAAGCTCTCACTCTCTGAACCTTCAGGGCTACTTGTAGTTATAAACACAGATATGTGAACCCACCAGCTTTGAAACATCCCATCAAACAGCTGCTTTGAAAACAAATACAGCTCATGAACTTCATAAAACCTGTCATTTGACATTTGACAGGATATTGACCAGTCCCCCAAAAAAGCCAAGCATTTGCAGACGTGTTGTTTTCAGTGTTTGCTATCACCATGTTAAACATGTCTCCTTAAAACCTTGCGTCACAGTTCACTCAAGTTAAGACTTGTCAAGTAAGTGGAGCTTGAAGAATTCTATTCCTGTAAAAACGCACACTTGATCATGGTCAAGGTCGTGACATTCCACAGCTGATCCCGTCGGTGCTCTGGATTTAAAGCACTCTCTCACACAAGCACCTCAGGAGCAGTTGAGAGGAAGATGTTTGTGTGCAACGCAGCTTATATGCATGTTTAATATTGTACGATAATGAAGGCATATGATAAAGGGTTTGTTAATTTTGCATATAATTTCTGTTTATTGGGCGTCACAGTGGTGCAGTGACTCGTACTTTTGCCTCATGGCAAGAAGGTTCTTGGCTCGAATCCAGTTGCTGGATGTATGGTTGTTTTATCTTGGCAATGTGATGCCTCTCACCCAATGTCAGCTCCAGCCATTAATTTCACATTGTGCTGTTTATCATCCTTTTACAAATACTTTTTACTTGAAACTTCTATTCATTTCAACCTTTCAGTTTTTAACATTTTTATTTTAAAGTTCAAACAAAACTCTCCAAAATACAAACTTAAAGGCGACTAGCTTTCCAGATCTGTGTCTCAGTCCTCCTGAGTGTTCCGCGTGTCTGTCCGGTGTGTCTCTGTTCTGAGTGTTCTCCGTGAGGCAGCTCCGCCGCTGCCTTTTAAACCTGAGGATCAATCAGCTAACAGCTCTCACCTGCACGGATTGATCCTCTGTGGTGCAGGTGAAGGTGCTCTCCCAGCCCCATCACCTCCACAATGAGGTCATTCATCAAATAGAGCACCATTGTTTCCCACTGATCTGCTAAAGAAATGTGTTGTTGAGTGACTTCACTATTATCTAAACACAACATTAAGGTATTCATGGCACTTGTCCATCAGTTTCATTCATTATTATTCTCACCGTACTTAAATAGGTCGCTCCACAGGGCCAGAACAGCAGGTCTGAAACATTTGGGGCTGCTGCCCTGAAATGGTAAATATGGTATTAGCTGGGCCTGTGTGGTTTTGGGTGCTTCATCATCTTCAACACTCTGTGTCCTTGCTTGACATCTGTAGACTTGTACTGTATAGCACTTCAGAGTTTAGGTGAATTAATGTAGATCTAGGTCTCTCAGCTGACCCGAGGCCATTACAGAGTGCAGGCCATAATATAAAACGTGGTTAGAGTGCCAGCCAGATCTCCCTATGGTATGCTGCGAGAACATGGTGGGAATATGGAAAGCCCTGGATTTAGCAGAGTGAATTTGAATGAGCCAGCCGGCTACTTTGAACCATTCAGAGTACCCTTGCTCATTCAGGGTGTGCTGTTGTCTCGTTACCCCCATCATCGATTACCCTCAGGGCAAAAATGAAAAATGGATTTGTGCTCGCCTGCAGCCTGCAAAGAAATTCACTGCAGCTACCTCCTCCAGACCAGCACTGCTCACTAATGCCATCAACCACCCCTAAACATCTGTACAGTTCTCATTATCTTAATATGCTGTTAAATTCAGATTTTTTTTGATTTGTTACATTGATGATAGCGAAAAAAATACACAGGATTTTACAAATAAGAGACAAGTACGGAGTAATGCTTCCAAAGAGATGTGTGTGTGTGTGTTGGATAATACAATCAGGAATATAAGAACATTCTTGCACATTTGGTTCCACAAACTCAATTTTGCACCTGTAAATGATCAAGTTCTAGAGAAATAAATAAGGAAATCATTTTTGCAGCTTAGGTGTTAGTTAGTATGAAGAGCTAATTGATTTTAATAGGGAGGTCAATTCTGCTGAGAGTAATCACAAGAATCTTTTTCACTCTCGCAAGGGATTTGCCATACATCTATTTATGATAAGTGTATCTGCAAGTATAACTGCACTGTATAGTAGTGTCAAGTCTCTGTATCTCATTTTTTGCTTTGCCGTCTTCTTTTCATCTTTATATTCAAGTCATCAAGCATCACTCATCTGCAGTAAATTCACTGTCAAGGAAGCAGAGAGCAAATATACTTTGGGCCCGGTGCCTCTACAGAAAGCTGTATTTTAACATTGTGTGTGTAAGACTAACATATTGCTGAATAATCTCTCCCAGAGGAGCGTTTATAAAGCGTATGAAACTGGGTCAAGGCAGTTCCATTGTCAACATCAAATCTTTCAGACACCTGGTCTCCGAGGCTGATGTGGACTTGTCTACCTGTAATATAGGTCCTGAAACTGTTTAATGCCGTCCCAAAGAGGCTAACCCAGTTTTTCAGATGGCCTATTACTATACTATAACTAGGTCCGCCGTAGTTGAAAACGACACTTAAATCCAGCAGAAAACAAGGGAGCCTTGGAGAAATTGTCTGCATATTCACGTCCTCTCTCCCCGGTTTCGTCGACTGTAAACTGCGGCCATAATTTATTTTTGTGTGCAAACATAATGTAACAAAAGCTCAGAGGTGTCACTTTAGCTTCTCGCTGTTGTAGAGTTATGGAATATCAGTGAGAAGTTGACACAGCCAATTTACAGTGACATTTTGTTCTCTCCTTCTGTGAAACCCATCATCAGAATGACATTCAGTAACGTTTCAATGTGTTGAAGGCTATTTATCAGAAAGTTTATTTTATACTTTGGAAGGTCACTTCAGCTCACACTGTCAGGTGTATGAAAGGATAATTGTAGGAAAGCCCATTGAAATTAATTATAATAATAATAATAGATATATGGATTCATTTAGAAAATATATGTAACAAATACATTAATGTTCTGAATCCTGCTTGAAAGAAGCAGAAACATTTGCTTTGCTTTAACTTTTCTTTTGGATGAAAAACAGAAACACTTAACATTCCAGGGCAGTACTCAATTTTATTAATCAGTGGAGCATTAACAGCTTAATCAATACCTATAAATGGAAGTCTCATCTTCTGGTGGCTCCCAGTAATAGAAATTAATATTTGT